GATCTGAGTAAGTCTGTGTATGAGCAGGTATGAGAACGAGTCTGGGTATGAGTAAGTCTGGGTATGAAAGGGGTCCCAGCATGAGTAAGTCTGAGTATGAGTAGGCCTGCATGTCGTGTGTTGAGTAAGTCAGACCATGAGAAGGTATGAGTACGAGTAGGTCCGAGTATGAGTAAGTCTGCGTCTGAGTAGGCGCGTTCTCTCTGGAGTCGGCGGCGCCCGAATAATAACGAGAACCCCATCTTAGGATATGGGGAAAACCGATGGTTTTCATAAGAATTTGCAAGAACGTGCGCGCAAGCTTTTTCTAGCACATCCGCGTTGCGAAACTTGATTTATATTCATGTTATCGTGGGGCTCGATTTTGAATCACTCACGGAACCGCTTGTTTTTGAAGGATTCCGGCACGCGCGCGCGACAGCGCGCGCGTGCACTCCGTCCCACTGTTTCAAGGGAGCCTTGAACACGGGTGATTTTCAATAAACGAGTGCGCGCGCATATTATTAGTTGAGGATGGCAAAGCGGGGCGGCGATACTTGTTGGGTTGGGGAGTGTTGAATTCATATTCAGCACGGACGATGGGGCATAATGGCATAATCGAGCGCGCATTGCAACGCGAAAGAAGGTGCCGACAATCCCGGGGAGGGGGGCACATTCTTTTTCTTTTCCACATAGGAGAACCTACGCCGTGCAATTCACCTCGCCGAACTTGGAGTTGCCTACTCTCCTGCTCGCGCAAACAACGAGTGTTGGCGTTGGCGGGTGAATCTCTGCGGCCGCGCTAGCCCGCGCATGCTCGCGTGCGCAGCGACCAGCTTGCGCGGCGCGACCGACGCGCGCGCGGCGGCGCTGACCGCTCGGCACTTCCAGCGGGCGCTTCAGTGCGAGTCGGCGTCGCGGGCGGGCGCGGTATCGCGGCGGCGCCGACGGCGGCAGACGCGGCGATGAGAGCAGCAACGTTGGCGACGATTGCGGCGACGACGACGGCGAGGCAGATGGCGGCGCCGACATTGATCGCGCCCGCCGATAGCGATGGCGATGTCATCGCGTCGGCGATGAAGGTTTTTGATGGAGTTCGAGATGCGCGCGCGGCCGACGCGCTCGAGCAGTCCGCGCGGCATAATTCATCGCGGGCGGGCCCCCCCCAGCACGCGCGCGAGGGCGCTCGGACGAGTTCGACATGTGGCGCGAGAGGCACGTTTGGCAGAGCTTGATGGCAATATTGAGAACGCGTCGTTTTCTCATGCATTCGCCCGAGCGCGCGCGCAGGCATGCATTTGAAAACTTATGATGCAAAATCATGTGTTTTTTTTTCTGGTGTTGCCGGAACAGTCGCTTCTAGAATCCTCGCACAACCCCCGGCGGGTTCCGGCGCGCGCGCGACGACGCGATTCGTCTTCTTGATCTTCTGCAAGGGATTATTGCGACAGCGCGCGCGCGAGGGCGCTCGAACGATTCCGACATGCGCGCGCGAGAGGCCCACGCAGCAGCAGGTTATGAACATGTTGGAAAATACGGGCTGGCTGAAGCATTCGCAAGAGCCCGAGCGCAAGTTTTTTTGTTTTTAAAACCGCTGTTGCAAAACCATGCGTTTCGCATGCTGTCGGGGCGCTCGATTTTGAAATATTTTGCGAATCCGTGGTTCTGATGGATTTCGGCACGCGTGCCCGAGGCGCGCGCGCGTGCGCTCCGGTTGTTCTTTTGGCTCCGTTGCAAGTGATGTTTGGCAATTTGTGGTTTCGGATAAACGAGTGCGCGCGCGTAGTGTTTTGCAGGGGGGGAAGGGGGGGGGAACTCCGGCCTGGCTGGGATGGCATGTATTCATATTCAGGGTGGAAGATGGGGCAGAATCAGTCCGGCCTCGGGGGAGCGGTAGATTTTTATATGTAATAAGGGAATCTTACTTTCTGTTCGCAGTGAGTCGTCAATTTCGCTGCTTGCGCAATCGCCCCACCAACCCGCCCGCGCCGCGGTTTGCATGAACCCATGCGGCGGCGATTGCGATGCGTGCTCGGCATTGGCTGGCGCATCTCCGCGGCCGCGCCAGCCCGCGCGCGCTGGCCGCTGGGCATTTTCCAGCGGGCATTTCGGCGCGACTCGGCGACTTGGGCGGGCGCGGCAATGTCGGCGGCGTTAGACGCGAGGGTGCTAGACGATGTCGGCGACGATATCGACGGCGCCGATGCTGATCCAGCCGGCGACGATGACGGCGCCCACGCGTCGGCGTTGAAGGTTTTGGAAGGAGTTCGACATGCGCGCGCGGCGCCGGCGCGCGAGAGCGGCCCACGCGGCGTCATTTGACGCGGGTCGCGCCCCCGCCGCACGCTCGCAGGGGCGCTCGAATGATTTCCACGTGCAGCGCGAGAGGCCCGCTTGCCAGTTTTTGTTTTGACACGCAAGTATATATATATATATATATATATATATATAGATGCATGGAAAATCCACAACGGCGCGAGCTCGGGCTTTCTTGTGAGAGCTGACTTTGCAAAATCACAGGTTGTCTTCACGTTTTCGGGATTTCAAACTCCGCGCGCGACCCGAGGTTGTCGAGTGATTTTTGGCGTGCGCTCGCGACGACGCGCCCGCGCACTTACGCGCACGCCTCTATATATACATACAAACATACATATATATATATATATACATCTATGAGTTCTCGCGCCAGCGCGCGCGCAAGGGCGTTCGATCGATTTCGACGTGCGCGCGCGAGAGGCCCGCTTGGTGGCATGTTAAGACCTGTTGGAAAACCTTCGTTTCTTTTCCCAATCCGCAACAGCGCGGACGCAAGCTTTATTTGACAATCCGCGTTGCGAAGCCATGTGTTTGCACGTTTCCGGGGCGCTCGATTTCGAAATCCTTGCGACGCCCTGGGTGTTTTGAAGGGTTTCGGCATGCGCGCGCGACGACGCGCGCATGTGCACTTAGTTGTTTTCTTGTTTTCGGGGTTCTGGAACACAGATGGCGCTTGATAAGCGATCGTGCGCGCGTAGCGTCTGCAGAGGATGAGGAGGGGGAAGGGCGATGCCGGCCTGCCTGGGGCTGTGTGAATTAATTTTTAGGATGGGCGCTAAGGCACAACCGCGCGCAAATTGCAATGCGAATTGGTGCGCCGTTAATTCCGGGGTTTGGGGAGGTAGATGCGATTTGGTTTTTGGTTGAAATGAGAATATGCGTCGTGCAATTCAGTTGCGGAACTCGCAGTTGTCAGCTCTGGTGCTCGCGCAAACATCCCACCCGCACACCCGCAAGTTATCTTGCAAAATGCATGCGGCAGCGATTGGGATGATTACTTGGCGTTGGCTGGTGCATCTCTGCGGCCGCGTTAGCCCGCGCATGCTCGCGCGCGCAGCGGCCATCTATTTTGGCGCGACCGACGCGGCCGCGGCGGCGGAGACCGCTGGGCACTTCCTAGCGGGCACATCAGTGCGAGCCGGTGACTTCGGCAGGCACGGTATCATGGCAACGTTGACAGCGGTAGACACGATGATGGTAGCAGCGACGCTGGTTACGATGAGACAACGGCGACGGCACGGCCAGTGACGGCGCCGATGCTGACCACGCCGGCGATGATGATGGCGTCTTCGCGTCGGCGATGAAGGTTCGGGAAAGGGGTTCGACATGCGCGCGCGGCCGACGCGCGAGAGTAGCACGCATGGTACTACTTGACACGGAGATTGCCTCCCCCCCCGCACGCGCGCAAGGGCGTTCGAATAATGTCGACATGCGGCGCGCAAGGCCCGCTTGGCGCAACTAAGTGACATGGTGAACCATCGATGGTCTGCTAGAGAAGTCGCAAAAGCGCGAGCGCATTATATGCGAGCTGATGTTGCAAGACCATGTGTTGTCATATATCATCGGGGCACTCGATTTTGAAATCCTGACGACGCCGCGTTTTTTTCAAGGATTTCGGCATGCGCGCGCGACGACCCGCGCGCGTGCACTTCGCCCCGCTCTTGAACAAGGGATTTTTTGCGACAGCACGCCTTTCGAGGGCGTTCGAATGATTTCGACATGCGCGCGCGAGAGGCACATTTGGTAGTATGTCATGGATATGTTGAAAACAACTGTTGCGAAACATGATTGAATGTATTCGGGACACTCGATAGTGAAGTCCTTGCGAAATCCATGGCTCCAGGCGGATTTCGGCATGCGCGCGCGACGACGCGCGCGTGTGCACGTCGTTCCGTTTCTTTTGCAAGGGCTTCTTGGAAACGTAAGATTGTCGATAAACGAGTGCGCGCCGCCAGTGCGCGCGCATAGTTTTTTCTGCAGAGGATGGTGGGGGGAACCGTTACCGTTTTATTTGGGATGATACGAGTCAACATGCAGACAGGACGATGGGGCATAATTTAGGGGGGGATCGATCCTAATATTGATTCAGCAAAGCGAGTCTAAGCGGCGACGGGCTGGGCGGCGACGAGGCTGCGATGGGGCGGCGACGGCGGCTACATTGCCGCCGGACGGCCATTCAAGGCCCGACGACGGGCGGCATCGAGGCGGCGACAGGGCGGCGACGGCGGCCACAGCGCCGCCAGACTGCCATGTAGGGCCAGTTCCGTCGAAAAGACATGACAACTTCTTAGTACAAGCGCTGTTTGGGGAACGAACCATTGGGAAACTTCGGACACTGTTGCGGGTCCTCTTGTGTCCATTTTGTGTTCTTTTGGGTGCACTGTGGGCCGTGTTGAAGCCATAGTTGGCAGTTTCGGGCCATGGTGGGCCGTCTTCGAGGCATTCTGGGCAACTGTCGTTGCCTTGGTTGCTTGCCTGGGCAGTATTGGAAACTCGGGGCGCGGACGCATCGTTGTTGCACGAGGGATCGTGGCCTCGGGAGCGCAAACTCATAGCTGTTACAGGGGATCGTGGCCTCGGGAGTAGGGGCGATACCAGGGAGGTGGCTCGGCGAGGAGGGGGTCCTTGAAGTCATAGAATGCAGAACCGCACTTTGCATTCCACAGCGCCTCAGCGTGCAAGGGGGCGCGCTGGTGGATGGCCAGGCTGAACATTATTTTCTTGGGGATTGTCGCCGTGCTGACCGTGCTGCAGATACTCCTGGCGGTGCTGCTGCTGGTGGGCCTGTGGACGTACGTCCCGGCACTCGACGAGCACATCGAGGACATGTGCCGCCAGGAGAGGGACCATCACTGCTCCCTAGAGAGGCCCCCCACCTTCGTGGCGCATGTCTGTGGCGTAATGTCCGACCTCGTGAGCTTCTGCTCGGAGCCCTGCGGCTTCGTCTCCCAGATGTGCGAGGGCGGTTTCGACAGGGGCCTCAAGGTGGTGGACTACGTGTTCGGTGTAGCGCTCATGAGCGGCTTGAGCTCTAGCCTCGCGTGCTGCTGTCTCGGCTGCTTCGTCTCCGAGCTCGTGACTGGGAAGAGCGTGGTGGACACGTGCGACTGCTGCGGGTGCATGGACCGCTACGACAGGTCCCACCAGTACAAGCCGATTTAATCTCTCGCCGAGGCCCGCAGCACTGCGCTCCGCGCCTGCTCCGGCGCTTACCTCATCGGTCTGCGCTGGATTGGTCGGAGCTTCTTGGCGTCTTGGCACTTAGCTTGTGCATGTGTTGTCGCGTTGCGACCAAAGCCGTCGCACGCAGCCCTCCGCGTGAGCGACCCAAGCGCCGAGGAACTTACCTTGAGTTGGGCGATCGAGGAGCTTGCCCCGATTGGTGCGAGCACGGAGGATACAATCAGCTTCCTTCTCCAGCGAGACCTGGCTGCGGTGGAGGCGGGCGGGAATCTGGAAAGCAACACCTGTGGCTAAACACAAATTTAGTAATATGGCAGCCTGGGTTTGCAACATACGACGGCAGAAGCAGCGTGAGGCCGTCTGCAGTAGCCCTGAGCCACGGGGGTGAAGCGCAAGCTGTGTACAAGCCAGTGCCACCAGCCAGGGGGCGAGCTTCCAGAGATGTTTCGCGCTACCGTCCGCAGAATTCCCGCAGCACGCGGACGGATACAGCGCAGCGTGGATGGTTCATGTCTTGGGGCTTGTTGCTTGCAATTGGGGCGCCGGGTTTAGATATATGTTTCTCGAACGCTTATTCTTCGTGTGTGCCAGGGGTGGATCCTGCTCGGTTGGGGTTCCGCACTTGCACGGGGTGGGGGGGGGGGTCGTGCGTGGTGGTGTGTATTGGGTGCCCGTTATTAGTTGGGAGGACGAGTACCATGTTGGTCAGAAATTGTGCTGGTACTGCCTGTTGTAGGTCGGGCGCGCACTGAGCGTACACGCACACGGTCGACTGCACATTTGCAGTCTATTCCGTCACCTCCTCCTCAGAGTCGCACCGCACATCGCCAATGACCGAAGCTGAAAATGCCAGCAACGTCTGTGTTAGTGATGTGGATTGCCAGTGATGTGGATTGCCAGATCATGTTGGACACCCTCGTATCCTAACGCTCTTGCTCGGATGGCGGAAAGAGCGAGGTTCGAGTGATGACGTTCTGGTGGGGCGAAGCCCGAAAGGGGGGGGTACTCCGTGGGGGGAGTAAGTGAGGGAGGGCTCCAAAGCGGCCCGAGAGCGCTCTAAGATTTCCCAGGACTAGCGTTCGAAGGTGGCGTGGCCTTAGCTGGCTTCGAGATTGTCCAAGAGGACCCACCGACGGCCCCATATGCCCTCAATAGGACTCCCAAGAGGGCCTCGGGAGGCCAAACACATTGATTCGTCTGTTGTTGGAAACTTTTTAGGCGTCTCGCCTTTTCGGGCTTCCGACCGCCCAAGACTGCCCAACAGGCCCGGCAGTTCGCCCCAAGACGGCCCAAGAAGCCCCAAAGAGGTCCCCAAGACGCGTCATGAGAGCCCCAAGACTGCTCAAGAGAACTCCAAGAAGGTCCGCAGCCACGTTGGCTCAAGGCGTGGTAGCGCAAGCTGTTTGGGTTGATGCCAGTTTTGCTCAAGTTGGGTTTTGGGCCTGCACCTCCGCAGCCGACGGAGTCCTCTACCGTGAGGCCCCCCTTGGTCTTATGTGTTTTGCCTTGGCTGTTGGTGTTTCTGCTGCGGCAGCCTGTCCAGCACCTTCTGCGATCTTCTGCGGCAGCCTCCGTTACAGCCGCCGCGCCAGCAAAAATGGCACCGCCGACGGGCAGTTGCATCAGTGACGTGAGTCTGGTGCACTTCTTCTCGCATGTTTCCCCCCCGATCCCGAGAGGCAGCGGCTCTCTACGGAGGCCAGAAGGATAGATGCTTCGCGTCCAGAATGTCTGAGTGACGCGCGCTGGAAGGAGCATCTACAGGAGCAGTTCTGGTTCTAGAGTGGCCCTGGCAGATCCCCTCTCGAAGTCTAAGCAGAGTTGTGACAACGATACATTGGTAAATGCAGATTCGGGTGATGCTGGCTTCGCCAGAGTGCAGCTTGACGTATTGAACGTGTGGCCTATCCATTGCAGAACAGCACAAGCGCCGACATGGTTGTTCGACACCGGCCAAGTCACGAAATGTGACGTTTTCGTCGGTACGGTACTGCTTGCTTCAACCGTGAGTCTTGCGAGTCGCCCCAATTTACAAGTCAGCGATTTGCCCTGAGAGTCAACAGTCGCACTCGCCAGTTTCTCAATGAATGGGAGGCGTTGGCTTCTGATTTCCATCTCGTATCAGATGGGACATCGGTTTCACGTGGCTGGCCAGGCCCAACTCATTACCGACATGACCAGAGCCTATTTTCGATACTTGTCAAGGCTACGCTGCCAAGGTCACACACGCGGTTTGGCGTGGCCAATGTGGCAATTGCGATTGGCGACGGCTTCGGACATGTAAATTCACAGTGTCATGATGTTGCCATAGTTCCACGGCCATGGCAAGTATCGTTGGACAATCAAAGTGGCAACCAGACGGCCATGCCCACACCACCGAATTTCTCATCCCCAGCACCACGACGATACAGTGCTGCCACCTTTCTGGACGGCTCACACCTCAACGCCATATTCGATCTTACAGCTATTGCGCTGCTCAGGGTTGGCCGCCATGCCAAATGCGAGGCTCATTGTCGTCGAAGTGCTCCCTCAGACAGCCAGAGAGGAGCGTCCTCCTTCTGGTGAGCCGTGTGAAGGACAACGCCTCCCTTACGTACCGCCATGTCGGGTGGCCCACGTCTGCTCGAGCCCGTGCGCTCCCGGGCGCTGCTACCCGTTCCCTTCCTCGAGCCCCAACAGAGGGCTGTATCTGGCCAGCTGGCTTGTTACAATCGTCTCACCCTCTTCGTTTCTGGCCGCAAAGCGTTCATTGATCTGGCCACGAAATGGTCCTTGCTCATCTTCCCCATCCATGACCCTCACAGCACCCGAAGCCGTGTGAGGATCTCTTCCGACCCGCTGTAGCCGAATTGCCGCACGAATAGAACGATGGAGGGGGGGGGGCTGGGTTGGAATGAGGCTGAGGATGCTCATGAGGGCGGAGGTGGAGGGATGATGATGGTCCGAAGGATGTTGGCGAAATGGTGGAGACATAGGAGCAACGCCAGATGGTAGAGGGAAGTAATTACTGAGCACTCCCCCTCCCCCCAAATTCAAAGTTGGCACGCGTGGGGGAGACTGCCGTCGAGGTGCAACTCATCAGACCCACCGCCAACTTTGAACATTGGGGGGAGGGGGAGGCGTTTGACAGATGAATGTGGAATGAGTGTTCGCTATTTTTCCGAGGCCTGGATCACAGATGTTTAGTAAATCACGCCGTGGGCACGCGGAGCAGTTGGCTGAAGGAGGTGCCGCCCGCGGTGCCCAATTCCGCCATGCTCGACGCGAATCTCCGTTCGCCCTTCTGACGGGGCACCCGTGCTGGCCCGTGCTCTGTCACAGCACGAAAGCATCGAAAGCCGTCGCGTGTGTTCTTGACCGTTTCGCACAGACGTTCCCCTAGCATTAAGTCGGGCGTGTCCCTCTACAGGAGGAATATTCAAACATAGTAAACAAATACTCTGGGGGCGATTTCTGTGATTGCTGGACTGTGTGTGAACATGGTTTCGTCCAAGACCAGCCTGTAGGAGGACATGCCCGACCTACATGTAACCCTAGCAGCGCGTGGCATTTGTTTTTTCTGGACTCCCGTGCCGCCACTCGCCGCAGAGGCTATCGCATCGGATGATGCTGCGACCTGTATTTCTCGCGTTGCCCCTGGCGGAGGTCGGCGGGTGAAGCGGGTAATAAAAAGCGAGAACTCCAAGACGGCCCAACAGGGCCCCGAGGGAGTCCCAAGACGGCCGAGCAGGGCCTCAAGAGGGCCCCAAGGTGGCCCGAGCCCCCCAATTCTGCCCATGAGTTTCCCAGGACAGTCCAAGAGCCTCACAAGAGGACAAGAGGACCCCCCCCCCTGACGGCCTGAGTAAGAAATACACATGTGTGGTTATGTGTGTCATTGGTTTGAGGGTTCTAGCTTTTTCGGGCCATGATCGGAGATTGGCCCGAAAGGGTCCCAGAGATTTGCCCACGACGGCCCCAGTACGACCCAAAGAGGGCCCCAAGGGGCTCTCAGTAGAGCCCAAGAGGGCCATAAGAGGTTGCAAAGAGGGCCCAAGAGGGCCCGAAGACGGCCCAAGCCCTCGAAGGCGACCCAAGAGGGCCCTAGGACGGCGTAACGTTCTCCCAAGAGGATCCCCGAGACGGCCTGCGGAGGCAAAGCACATTGATGTTCTTGGTGTAGTTCTGTGCGTTTTTGGTTCTCGCCGTTTCTGGCCCAGATTGGCCGAAGACAGTTCTGAGGCTACCAAGAGGACCCCAAGACAGCCCAAGAGGGCCCCAGGACGGCCACAGAGAGCCCCAAGATGGCCCCATGGGAGTCACAGAGGGTAAGGGAGGAGGGAGACGCAGTAAGGAAAAGGATGAAGAGGGGAGGAGCCCACCCCTTCCCCCCCCTCTTTCCCCCCTTCCTCCTCCCCGCTCCTCTCTCCCCCTTCCTCCTCCTCCCATCTCCTTTTTCCCTACCCTCTCTCCCTTCCTCCCCTCTCCCCTCTCCGCCTTCTCCTCCTCCGCCTCTTCCTCCGCCTCTTCCTCCTCCTCCTCCTCGATAACCGATCCTCCCTCCTCCTCCTCCTCCTCCTCGATCACCAATCCTCGTCCTCGATCCTCCTCGATTTTCGCTCCTCGATCCTCCCTCCTGCCCTCCCTCCCTCCTCGGTCCTCCCTCCTGCCCTCGCGATCATCTCCTCGATCCCCCTCCTCGATCCTCCTCCTCCTCGATCACCCTCCTCGATCCTCTTCCTCAGCGCTACTCCAGTCCGCGCTCCCAGCCATCCCCTCGCCGTGCCGTGCCCCCCCCCGCCGCGGCGACCTCCCGCACCCGCGCGCGGGTTCGTGCTCTCCGCGGCCAGGGGGGGGGGGGGCGCCCCTCGGCCTCGGGAGCGCCCTCGTCTACGCCGTGCCCCTCCTCTCCTCCTCGCCCTCCTTTTCCTTCCACGCCTCTCCATCTCGTCCTGGACCCTCCTCATCTTGCCTCTCAGCCGCCTTGGCCTCAGGTCTCGCGAGGTGATCTCGTCACCGCTCTCTCGTTCCTTCTTCCCCGCGCGCTTCCGAGCTTCGCGCGTAAGTGCGGTCGTGCGCAAGGGCTGGCGGCCACCTGAAAGAGCCGTTCAAGGACAACCGTGGGGGGAGCCCCTATCATCCCCCACTTCCTTGTCGTCCTCGTCCCTCTTCCTCCATACTTCCTCCACCTTCTACATATTCTCCTCCCACCCACCCCGCGAGCCCCCGTGAGATTGCGGGCGGGGAACCCCCCGCTGCCCATGGCGGCGGCCGCAGCCATGCGGGCTGCCCGGCGGCTGGAGCAGCTGGCGAGCGCGGGCGTTGCGCAGCGGGAGGGCGCTGGGGGGCACAAGGAGGAGGAGGAGGAGGAGGAGGAGGAGGAGGAGGAGGGGGCACCGAGCGCGTTCCACCACTCGCAAAGTGCCTGCTCGCAAACG